GGACTATAGTCCAAATAATGTAAATAGTATATCTCAGATCACTTTTTATTTTTCAATTTTTGAGGGTTTGAGTGGACTGGCCTCATTCAAACTGTTCACCATGCAGCATGATGTGCTCCCTCTCAGAAAGTCTAAAATTTGCTTAACATAATTCCAGTATAAATCACTGGTTGGATCACTGGGTATCAAACAAAGAGATGTGCCTGAGCAGATATCTGCAACTGGGATTAACTAGCCACCCTTTCAGACAGACATACTTGGATATGAACAACCAGTCATACATACATACATACATACATTTAAAAAAAAAAACTATTCTCCCAAAGGAAGGCAATGAAGCCATTAAGATTACAAGGGTTTACTGAGTGTTAGAGAATATGAGAGAGAAAAATAAAAAAACATGAATTAAGAAGACATCATTCATACAGGACATCATTTACTGGAATCCGGGTCGATTACTCACACATTTAATCTTAGAATCCGGGGGGGGATTATCCACAAATCTTGGAATCCGGGGGTGATTATCCACAAATCTTGGAATCTGGGGGGATTATCCACAAATCTTGGAATCTGGGGGGATTATCCACAAATCTTGGAATCCGGGGGTGATTATCCACAAATCTTGGAATCTGGGGTGGGATTACCCACAAATCTAATATTAGATCTGGGTGGATTACCCACAAATCTAATCTTAGATCTGGGTGGATTAACCACATATTTAATCTTGTGTTAATTGAAATATTTTTCCAGGGTGTTGAAATTTTATTTTCCCTCAATGTATTTTCTTTTATTTTTTTATTTTTTGTATTTTCTTTTTTACTGACTTATTTGACCCAACATCATTAACTTCATCTTGTATGTGCTAATGTCCTTTCAGGATGTGGAAGATCAAAGCTCTCCCCAACTTCCTATGTCATGCAGCTCTTAGTAATGTTCGTTTTTTTTTCATCCCTCCCAATATTAATTCTGCCATCCATTCATAAAAACATATCAAGTAGGTAGCTCATTGCCTCCCCAACCCCTAGTATCTTTTACCTATGTCCTATGAATGACATTTTCCAAGCAGTCTTTCCTCATATTGTGTCTCTGATTCTAAGTAAAGTTGTTGTTTTGTTTCCATTATCCTTAATACTTCTGTTGACTACACCAGTCATATTAAAACGTTTCAATGTATTTGAGATTCAGATCACATATTTTCATTAGAAGACACTTTTTTATTACTGGGTTTGTCATCTTTTTTTCTGTGTATTGTCTTTTCTTTTTATTTGATTTAAATTTTAATTGCAGGAAGTAAAAAAGTAGCAGCTTTGGTAAGGGGGTGAAATGTCATTCAAGAATGTAAAGCTGCCAAAGGTGGTGGATTGTGGAAAAGGGGGGACAGTTGGAGTTTCAGTTTCATCTCAAACCACTTCCTTGTTCTAAATTACGACAATTAAAATTTAATGGATGAATAGATTGGCTTGTGTTACAGAAATAAGAGAAAAAATGTGTAGAACAGACAAATAAATCACAATTCAGAAAATCCTTAAACCTGATTTCAGAAATGAAAATGCAATAAGGATGTGGTTAGCTTATATTTTCTGCCTGCATATCAGTTCAAAAAAATAAGAGGTGTGTGTGTATATATATATATATATATATATATATATATATATATATATATATATGTGTATGTATGTATGTATGTATGTATGTATGTATACCCCTGAAAAAATAAAATTCGGTTGAGAACTTTAGAGGGAAAAGTGTTAATTTGTAAACAGTGACTGCTACTGCTGATGCAAAAAAGCTCTTCTATGAACTGAGCACTCTGAGTCAATGGCGTATTTATCCTAAAAGAAATACATAAAAATTCACCTCTCTGCTGGGAGCTGATAGCTCAGGGAAAAAATCTTGGACTGATGCCAAATCAGTTGGGTTTCAATTCTTGCTTGAGGCAATCAGATGTCTAGCCACACTGATGAGCTGTGATACAGCAAAACAGACTGTCTGTGGATAACACACAAACAATTATATATATATATATATATATATATATATATATATATAGTTTATACAACTTTCATTAAAAAACAGCAATAGTTTCGGTTAACACCACTAGAGATTTTCAAAGCCTGTTATTTGCTATATCATCGTTTTTTGTTTTTTTTTTAAAAAATCAGTTCATGCCTTGGTCATTATCACATAATATAAACAAATAAATAATTACTCAACTGAAATGTAAACTCAAATACAGTTTACTATTGTTTTTGCTTACAATGCTCAATATCCTGAAGATAAATTTGCATATGATGCAAGATTTTGCCTGATCCTATAACCAAGGCATGTTCTTGTACTAAACATTCACTTAGAATTGCACTGTTATAATCTATTTCTATAAAGTCCTGCCAATCATCCCTCTATAAGCAGAAGGAGTAGACATTAGGCTTAAATGGAATTAGCCTTTATTTGTTATTTATTAATTACAGCATTTGGTGCTTAATTTAAGATTGTTTAAAAATGTAACTAGTATATATGTTATTAAAAGTTTTCTTTTGGTTAAATCAAGTTGGTTAAATATTTGCCTGAATTTTGAGAGAACTGATCATAATCATTAGGTATTTCATTTTAATAATCTAATAATTGGTTTTATTGAAACACAGATGAATTATATCATGTGCTTCATTTTACTATAAGACCTTTAGTTAAGTATATCATATTTTTAATACAACCATAAAGACATACATTCATTATATATAAATATAAACAAGTTTTATTGAATTCCATTGACAAAGATGGTCTATTTTTTGTTTGTTGCATATGTATATAAGATGCTTCATATTGAGATCTAAATAGTGAATAAATAAACAGAATTTCATGCTTGCTCTGTTGCTTTTGTTCAAGTAAAAGGCGTTCCAATAACTTGGACCGATTTTAATGTGAATTAAGTTTAAGTGTCTAATGATTTTTTTTTCTTTTTCTTTCAAATTTAACAACTTATGTCTTTGGCAATTTCAACCCTGGAAAGATTAACAATCAAACGTGTTAAAGTTATCGAAGCCTTTTACGAAAATGGATGTTCAAACAGAAATTAAATGGGAAGTTCCCAAGTTGCATCATCTCTTGAAACAGCGAAGTCAATTGGCCACCATGATCGTGCGACTTGACACCTTTAGATTTCTTCCTTTTGGGTCATCTCAAAAGTAAGGTCTATGTTAACAAGCTGACAACAGTTCAACAGCTAAAGGGTGAGATGATAAAGTATACTGGTGAGATCGAGGAACATCTATGCAGAGACGTCATCAAAAATTTTGACCATCAAGTGGAAGTATGCCGCTGAAGCCTTGTTGGATATTTGGGCAATATTATTTTCCAAATATAATTGCCATGACTTAAATAACATGATCCAATAGAGAAATAAATAAATTTTCACTAATAACAATGATTTATTTACTGCTGACTTTGATTCATCTTAATGAAATACACTTTAATTTTGGCCTTCTCATTCATTATCAAGAACCATGTGCTGTCACAGTGTGGTAGGCAAAATTCTATTAGCTACATCCTGTTATTTTATAGAAGGCTTAAACTTCAAAAAAGTCTGCACTGATATCATGTATAACAGTTAAAGGGTGTGAGACCAAATATGAATTTTGATTTAGAGAAGAAAATAACAAGGATGCATAGCAACCTCATGAAATTATTCCAATGTGTCAAGTAAGTCAGTTACATTTGCATATTAACCTTCGTAGAAATGCAATTACTCTGGAAGGAATAAACTGATCAGGTGAGTGACTTTTTAAAAAAAACAATTCAAAGCCAATCACATCTTTATGAACCACCAATTTGCTATGAGTTCTGTCTCCAAATCTGCTAACGTCAATCGGTTGGGGGAGGGGTTTCTGCTAAATGAAGTCCCATGTGATTTTTTATTTCCATTTATATATTAAACATCAAACAGATTTTAACTCTCTTAATATACATGTTTAAATTTAACTAGCAGCCATACCCAGCTAGTCGATCAGAAAAAACATTCAATTAGAATGGAGCAAAAACAGCATCATGTTTAGATGTAACAGAGTCTATCTTCTTCAATTACATTAAGGTACTTTCGTTAAAGAAAAACATTTTGAATTAATGCAGTTACTGATATAACAGAAGTAGTCTGTATTTATTCAATCGAAGTTAGCCGAGGACATGAAGGGGTAAAACAGGACAATGAAGACCCACTTTGAACCAGAATTATTTTGGAGTTTTTGAAATTCAATTTGTCAGTGTACTACCAGGGATGTAAAAGAGAATACATTTATAAAGCAATTGTTAAGTTTGATGAAAATTGCTTGAAAAATCAATGAAAAATAATTTTTCACTATTTATGTGGTTTTCACTATATGAGTGGACTCAATTCTCAAGTTAAATGACAGTTAAACAATCAACTTATTGTTGGCTACAATTGAGTGAAGTTTGTATTAGATTGCTGGAAAATTGAGGGAGTTTTTAGATTAAAATTTGTGTTGAAATTGATTTTCCATTTTTCATGGTTTTTCACGAAATGCAGTGGCGTAGAAATAAAAATGAGGCATTGTTGAGCTTGTCATGATGTAAGTAACCTACATACTGAGTTTGAAAGAAATCAGAGGAAAAAAAGTTGAATCTATCGATTTTTGATTGGATTTATCAATCGATTTTTTATACTAAGAACCTATCTCTTACATTGTACAATGTATGTGCCAAGTTTGGTCAAAATCGGTTGGATGGATCTCGAGTAAAAGGTATCAGACAGACAGACATCTTCTGTTTTATATATATATATATATATATATATATATAGAGAGAGAGAGAGAGAGAGAGAGAGATAATAATTAAATTTAATAACCAAGACCTATCCTTTAGCAGAAATAATCCAATTTCAAAAATTATATTGATTTAGAAGGTGTAAGTTTTCAAATTTATTTCAATAGAACAGAAATAGGTTTTCATAAAGATAGAGAATGTTAAAGAGATTTTTTAATTTTACTTACATTCCAACTCGCCACTTCCAATCTTCAATAATCCAGCTGTTAAAAAAAAAAAAAAATTATATATCACATTTGCTTGTATATAAGATAAATATAAGGGAGTATTTTTGATAAAAATTTCTGTGCTATTTTAGATTAAATAAGGTATAAAATATTAGTAGTTAATCTTGAATATTCCCTGTTGTTGAAATTAGTTGTGAGCAGAGATATCTGCCATCCTCACTTGTTTGTCTTGACAGGTGGTGAGTTATTTTCCCCCCTACTAACTCGTTCCCACAGATGGAACATTGCGAGCATCTCACTGATCCACTATTTCCATGGCATGTGTTCTGATAAGCTACATTCTTTAGTCTTACCAGCCTTGACCTTTACAATTGTGATCCACCATGCCACGTACACAAGGATGAATCATCCTCATTGCTCTCGTATTCTTTTAGTAAGTAGGTTCCCGTCAGACAGCTTCTTCCCAAGAATGTCTGCTTTGTGGAACAGACTCCCAATAGGACGTTTTATCAATTACTACAATCTTGACCACTGTAAGTCTAGGCTTAACTTTTATCTGTTCCTTTTGTTTTCCAATAGTAAAAAGTAAGTTTCATTTTGACAACTTCTTCCCAAGAACTTCTGCTTTGTGGAACAGATTCCCAACATGATGTTTTCCAAGTCACTATAATCTTGATCACTTGAAGTTCAAGGTTAACTGTTATCTTTTTTGTATAACCCCATAAACTTCATTTCTTGCCTTTTCTTATACAAGGCCACACAGTAATACCATCTTGAGTGGCTGTGTATTGGGTAATTATTAGTATAAGAAAAAATATAGCATGGATAATTTTAAGTTCTTATATATGAATAGTCCAAAAATAATGCCTTAAATTTATTTGCACAGAAACTGCCACAGATACAGCGCACACAATAACATAGTTGGATAGAGAAAGTCTTCAGCTGGAAAATTAAATTTTTCCAAATAGTCACTGCCATTGGCTATGCAGTATAAATGTAAAAGTCTGCATGTTGTTCTCATAAAAATCTTCACCAGCAGTTTTGATCCAATTCCTTCACACTTCCTTTACTCTGTGTCTGTGTTCACATCCTCAGTTTGGTCTCTGTAAACATTCAGAAATCATTGTCAGTATATAGGGTTTTTTTTTTTCTGCATAGAGGAATTCAATGATAAATTACAGCTTTTGATTCACTTTTATATCAGATACAATTTTCCTAGACTGCCACTAAGCTGATAAAGACAAATTAGTTTTTAGTAGTAAGGGTCAACCTCTACTGTCATAGCACCCAAAAGCCTCTGATGTTATGGGCCATCATAAAATTTAGAATGACCTCTTTAAAACACACACACACACATATATTTTGGTTGAGCTCTTTGGGGAGAAAAAGTGAATTTTTAAACAGTGACTATTACTGCTGCAAGACTCTTCATTAAGATGGATCGAGTTCTCCAGTCACTGGTGCATTTGTCAACAAATAAATACATATAAATTTGTCTTCATCCCTGCCGTGCACCAATGGCTTAGAAGTAAAATCTATGACTGATACCAAATCAGTCAGGTTTCAATCCCGGCTTGAGGCAAGTGAATATCTAGCTACACTGATGAGCTGTGAAGCAGCAAAACAGTCAGTCTGTCTATATATATATATATATATATATATATATATATATATATATATATATATATATATATATGCACATACACACACTCATTCAGTCAGTTATGTGCCATACGTGATAAACACTTAGGCGATCATATATCTTTCGATACATCACTGACGAGACAGATTTTTTTCCCCTAAGTACATTGCCATTTCTTTCTGTGGTAGACCAGTTGCCATCCAATGCTATAGAACCTGGTCTGTCCTGCTATTTACCTATAGCTGGGAGGGGGGGAAGAAGAGGATTCATACCTTTCCCAAGTGAATGTAATGGATTTGCCTCGAATTCGAACTTGGCTCTCTGGTTCCTCAATCCGAGCTGCTACACACATTACAAATCTCAAAACAAAGGTTATCCAATAATTTCCCCCCTTGTAAATAAATGTAAAAAAATGAAGTGGTCAATATTTGAAAAAAAAGAGACAGAGTTTTAATTTGATTTCTATATATAATGTTTTTTATGTTCATCTAATAAGATGAAAGCCTAAAAGCTAACCAACAAGCATTAAGGTGAAGAATAAATGCTCATGTAATCTGTTTAACATTTTAAGAATTTTAAATTACATTTCTCCTTATTCATAATGCAACAAAAGGTTGACAAACTCTGCAGTTACAATCATGACTTGTTTCTTTTCTTCCTGTTTTTAAACGTAATCTGTAATTAGTTTTTTAAAGGAAAAGAAAACATAGCATATATAGAAAACAAAAAAATATTATCAAAATATTTGTGGAAGTTGAAGACAGTAATACAAAATAATGATTGAAAAACTGAAATTTAAATGTACTGAATTACTCCCCCAGTTTTAACAATACAATTCTGATGACCTCACCTAAGTCTGGCACAAGTTCACCATCATAAAGCAGCATCAGAATCAAACTCATAAGACTAAAAGGGATGAACTGGTTTGGTGCTTCTGTTAGTCTGGCACAGATGTCACAATACTGAGACACTTAAGAGTGACTGAATTAATTTGTTAGTTTGCTCAATATCTCCTGAAAGCAAGCAAATCTAGAAGACCAGTGCTGATAGAGTAAATTTAGTCAGCATTGCATAACTCATTACTGCATGTTTTCTCAGATAATGATTTTGTTCAGATGTTTTTTTTTTTACCTCGTTTCATATGGTTAATAGCATTTGCACTGTCTCTCAAGAAAATTATGCCATCTAGTGAAATATTTAAAGGGAGATAACTACTTACAGTTTTTCTTTTTTATTTCAAGTCTTTCTACACAAATAAAATAAACCAGTACATTGTTGATAATATGCCAATCATTTTAGGATCTTGTTCTCAGGAATTTATCTCAAAAGAATCAGAGCAAGCATTAAAAAAAAATTCTTCATAATTCATTGCTATTTAGTTTAGCTTCAGACTTTTCTTTGAACTATTTAACAGGATCCATTATACTTGTAAGAGTTATCTGTCCTCTTGAATCCAAGCATTTCTTTACATAAAAGCAATATTGAATGCACAGCATTGCCCAGATTGTAAATGGATCTCAAACCAATTTCTATATTTTGCATTCTTTTCTTGAAGAATAGCAGAAAAAGATTTTTTTTTGTAAATATATTTCTAAAAGACCAGCTTTCCTTGATTGTTGGAAGCTGGTAAATGTCAAACACTCTGGGACACAAAATAGCAACCCTCCTTGTCCTAATTGGTTTTTCTAAATGCAGCCAAGTTTGAGTTTGGTCTTCAATTGAGTTTTCTATTGCAATCCTTTGTAAGTACTTGCTTACGAAAGACAACTCACCACCATGCCCCTGCAGGTCCGTAATGGTCTCCAATAAATGGTAAGGAAGACATTAACAGCGGAAATAGGCAGCATACAAGATGGTACACCCTGCAAGAAAGAGAAAGAGAAATAATATTATTAGCAAGAGAATATGTAAAAATCAAATGCATGTGTATCAGACATGGATTCACATATCTCAGCTGATCTTAGTGAAGCATGTCTAACAATCAACTTCCTCAACATCTGAATTAAAAACAAAAAAGCATGACATCAACAAAAAAAGTTTGAATGATAAGCAATTTAAGCAACAATGTTTCAGTTATTCTGACAGAAATAAAGTTCCTCTAGTGTTTATTTTTTTTATTCAAGTAAAGCAAAATTTCTACTTTTTGTAGTTCTTCTGAAAATCCTTAATTTGAGAAACTTAAGCATTGAAAGAAAAGAGATTCCATGAGAAATACACACAAAGAATATAGGTAGAAGAGTTGCATATGGCATGAGGAGAGAGATGGAGGTAGGGGAAATATACACAGACAAGAAAGAAAGAGAAGGTAGTAGGGAGAGATACATATGAATAAGAGAGAGAAAAGGAGGTAGGGGATATATATGCATGAGAGAGAAAGAGAAATAGGGGAGATGTGTATGAGGGAGAGAGAGAGAGAGAGATGGTGTTAGGAGAGTTCCATATGAGTTGAGGAGAGAGATGGTGGTAGGAGAAATATACTGACCAGAAAGAGAGAAGGTAGTAAGGGAGATACATATGAATAAGAGAGAGAAAAGAAGGTAGGGGATATACATATGAAAGAGAAAGAGGAATAGGGCAGATGTGTATACACCAGAGAGAGAGAGAGATGGGATTAGGAGAGATGCATATGGACCAGACTAAAAGAAGGAATGAGGTTAGGAGCGATATGCATGGACCAGAGAGGGAAGGGGTTGTAGGTGAGATGCATATGCAACAAGGAGAGGAAAAGAAGTAGGTAGGGGAGATGCTTATGCATGAGAGAGAGAGAGAGATGAGCTAAGGAGGATGCATATAGTGCTGAGAGAGATGGGGTAAGGAGAGATGTATATGGACCAGATGAGAAAGCAGAGGGAATTGGGGGTGCATTGTATGCACTGAAGAGTAGGGGCTGTTGGGGAGATGTGTATGGGCCAGGAAGAAAGGTGGGGAAGAGTCAGAATGAAACAATAAAACTGCTTTCATAAATGCTTTTTACTTAGAAAGCAATGGTTTTATATTGAAGGCTTTTTTTTTCTGTCACTTTTGGTCATATTCTCTTAGACAGAAGGATGCATTCTGTCCATCTATAAAATGGCAGATGAGAGATATACAGAGAAAAGATAAAAAAACCAAAAAAAAAAACCTTGACATCCAGGTCCAAATGTATGAAGTTGAAGGTGATGAGGAAAACAAAAATAGTAAATGACAACAACAGGTTTTTAGCAAAGATGTAGCATTAGTTGACTGAAACAAAAATTACAGCAAAGTGATACATTTGTTAAGAGGCGCAAGAGAAACAATGAATGCAATGAGTAATGACAATAAAAGGTCACTGGGTGGAAGAAGATGAGAGGGGGAGGCAACACCATTGACGACATGAAAGATAATAATGGTGCAGCGAAAATGACATGAAAAATAGACCAGGAATAATTATGATGCAGAAAAGAGAATTGAAGAAAAAAAAAAATAGAATAGAAAAAAATGAAAAACTAATACGGATAGAAAAAAAGTGATAGATTTCAAGATGATAGAACCTCAAAACCTATAAAGGAAATCTTTAAATGTACCTAGGTTTCTCTAATGATATAATATTCATCATAACTTATTATCACTGTGTGGATATCTGTATAAAGGAAAAAGTCAAGGATGGCCACAATTTTCGGAGGAACTTGTGTCTAGAATCTGTGCCGCATTTCAGGGGAGTCCATAGAAGTCCATAAATCAAGCTAGCCATGAGATTGTGATTACTCAATCCACTATCTGGCATATGCTAAGAAGACATCTTCATTTGAAACTTTACAGAATACGACTTGTTCAGGCACTTACCAAGACCTTGTTCTTTGTGCTTGGCCTGCTAGATCCCCAGACCTCACCATATGTGATTTTTTTCTTGTGGGGATACGTAAAAGATTGCGTTTATATTCCACTGCTACCCACTAACCTTGATGATCTTATACATTGAATAACAACAGCAATCAACTCAGTGGATCATGATATGCTGATACATGTGTGGGAGGAATTCTCTTCTTGCATTGATGTTGCCCGTGCTGCAGGTGGTGGCCACATTCAACACTTGTAGGACAGGAAATAAAAGCTGATTGTGAGTAGAATACTTGTGCTTTGGCTGGAGTTTTTTTTAGTTTTTTTTCCTTATTAGAATATTTTGTAATGAAATTGGTTCATTCTTTTTGAATAACCCTGTATATGCAATTCTTTCCAGATTATAACAGACAAAGGTTTTTCTTCCAGATGTGTTATTGTAACGAGCTTGTTTTAATTTCACCAAAGAGCCATACATTTAAGCCTATGTGTGTGTGTGGGTGGGTGGGGACAGCAATGTGAGAATTCAGATCCAATATTGGAATCTGGGGTCATAATTTTAAAAAGGCATACTTGCAAGTACAAAATTAAAAATACTGGGGACCTAAATCAAAAAGGGGTAAACAATCTGTACCCTCAACTTGCAACGTACACCCTTCTAGTTTGCCCATAAAGAACAGAAATTTCTGCTGTCTTCCATGGTATTGTTTTATTGGGCTGTGATTGTTCAAGATTGGTATGTAACTGACAACAATTACCATATTTCAAGGCCTACTAAAGTAGACCAGATTTTGATTTTCTTTTTTTGACAACACAGAGAATGCAAATTCTTTTTTGAGGTAAAACTTGTCTCCTTTAGTGTCACGAAAAGATGGAAAAAATCTTCAAATCAAGTAAATAAACAGAATGAAAGGAAAATCCATATTCTTGAATGGAATTAATAACAAAAAGAAAATAGTTATGGCTAAAATCTAGTCAAGAAATCCTGACCATTGGAGATTCCACTGATAGACAATGGTCGATTTATTCTTACAGATTTCAATCTTAAAAAAAAGAATATTGCTCAACATGGACTAAAGAATAAGTGCATTTACTTTGTTTACACATTGATATTAAGGACTATGAATTGTAGAAAGGATCTAATGTTTTCAAGATGTTGAGAAATGCAAGTGAGATTGATGAAAGATAAAAGTTAAATAGAGAGCAATGGGGAGGAACCTTACCTGATGTAGCCAAAGGAGACATGAGAGAGAGCAATAGTAGAGTGAGACAGACACGTGGGAGCACAGTAGACAGACAGACATGGGGGGGAAAGCAGTAGAGATTGAGACAGACACACACGGAGGAGCGCAGAAGAGAAAGAGAGTGAGGTGGAACCACAGAGGAAAGAGACAGGCTAGGTCAAAGAGAGAGAGATAGAGAGTGAGAGACTGACTGCAGTGAAAAAGAGAGAAAGAGAAAATAGTTGGAAACTTAGAGAATCTTCATTATTCTTGAACTGAAGAATAAGTTTTAAAAAAAAATGGATAAATAGAATTAGACAAATATTCTCAGTAGAAATGAGACGGAAAATCTTTGAAGAGAAGAAATATACGGAAGTGTAAAGACAGAATCCTATTTGGTAAATTGCATTCACAGAAGAAATCTTAAAAAAACAATAACGACAAAAACAGGAAGAATGATGTGAACAATTATAAACATTAATATTTCCTTGATTATCTCAGTAATAACAATCATCATAATGACTCAAATATAATGTTTCTTGCTTTATATATATATTTTTTTTTTCCTTAGGAAAATCAATCACAAAGTGGAAAACTTTTTTTTCATATGATGCATTTCATGCTTTAGGTCTTCATTGGACTAAAGTGATGTTTACATTTTGATGTAACAAGATAGGTGCACAAAGGAGACTGGACACTGAAATTGTTACCTTATAATTTTTTTTTTTTTAATAAGCATTTTTGTATATATATTTGTTATTAACTGTCTCAAATTGTGATAATAGAAGAGCTGCCAAGAAAGTTGAAATATTCTAAGAACCTGGATACAAATTTACTATGGCTGATCTAGCAATGAAAACACTTTGTATATACTTTTGTCTTAGTACAGTACTTCCTCTTTTAATTAAAGTATCACTTTTTAAAGTCAAAAATATTGTTTGACTCATTATGGTATGCATCTAATGTATTGAGAGTGTTGTTTTGTAAAAGATCCCTTTTCTGCTCATAGAATCATTTAAATTTCTTGAGGTTTCTCCTATGTATTCCTCATCACACTCTTTTCAATTGTAGTTCTGATACTTTAGTTTTGTTTTATGGTATATCAACACTTCAATAGGTTATTTAATGCTGACAAGATATAGGTAAGTGATTAAATATTTACTCAATTTAATTTACGCTGTAAACAAAACAGTACTCAATGTGGTTAGACAGAGCTAAGAAGTCTATATTAATAAATATACATATACCTATGTTCAAAGTGCAACTTAAAGTTTTGTGGCTCTACCAACTCATCAGGCAGAAATTATTACTTTTGATTTAAAAAAAAATAAAATAAAATATACTGGATTTCATCGGAGGAATGCTAAATTAAATGCAGATTCAAAGTTCAAATTTAAAATAAACTAAATATAACATTGGGGAGTAAATACAGAAAGTAGAGTGTAGGTAGGGAGCTATTGTAAGAAAAAAAATGCTTATATATATATATATATATATATATATATATATATATGAAGAAAAATATACGGAAAAAACAAACAAAAATCCTAATATGCAATTATGCTGTTTTAATGTTAATATAATGTCAACGTTAGATGTTTCGGTCTAATAGACCATCTTAATATGCAATTATATTATATTAACATTAAAACAGCATAATTGCATATTAGGATTTTTTTTTTGTTTTTTCCGTATATTTTTCTTCATACTGTCGGATCTATATCCATATATTTGCTTTTATATATATATATATATATATATATATATATATATATATATAACGTTATATATATATATATATATATATATATATATATATAACGTTAAACATATATATATATATATATATATATAACGTTAAAAAAAGAACGTTAAACATAAAAATATATATATATATATGTGTGTGTGTGTCCCACTCTTCTACTGTTGAAGTAGCTATATGCAACCACCACTTCTACTCCAACAGTTTCTTTTCTCACACTTCTCACCTGTGGAACTCCTTTCCATTTACTTGTTTCCCTGATAACTACAATCTTCAAAAATTCAAATACCTCAATTGCCATCTTCTATCTTCTTGAATCCTGTTCATCTTTTGTCGTTTCTTCAATCCTCCTTATTCTCAGTTTCTCTTGGTCAGATTTCGGAAATTGGGTTGTGCTGAAAAATTTTCAGCGTCCCCTCATACATATTCTTAAGTAGAGACACAATTAAGTCATCTTGTTGATTATTTAGGCTTAAGTTTTTAAAACAGATTTTTTTTATTATTAATATTTACTTGTTTTTCTGTATTTGTTTGACTTTTTGTGTTAGCACATCCCATCAACCCGCAAAACTTAATTTAACAACTGAAGTAAAATTGAAAACCATTTTGTAGAATTTTGAGCAAGGTTGGTTTTCTAGCCAAAAGCTCTCACATGATGAGATACTGCTGTTTCATCAGATAATTTTAATTTTGTGTCATTATTCGACTCAAGTAAAGAAGAAATTTCTAAAGATACAGAGAACGGGAATAAAGGAAGTCAAAAGTTATATATATTTCTTTCTAGACCAAAAGTTATAAAATTAGTAGAACCGATCAGAAAATCACAAAGTTATAATTGAATAGTTTGTAGATGAGAGAGAAATGAAATTAGTGTCTAGTAATAATCTTAGGTCAATAAAGAAGGAGAAATATTTTTAGTAGTCAGACAAGAAATGATACAAGTCAAAACCTTTTTAAAGGACTTCAAAGAAATTGACAATACTTCAGAAATAATTGCTCACCTATACAGTTTACATTCAATTGTAGGTGAATATTATATATGGTGAGAGAGGGAGAAAGAGAGAGAGAGATACATTCCAAGTTTTTTAATATATAGAGTGTGCATTTGTGTATCATGTAGCATGTAATTTGCTATCGACTTTTATGATTTTTGATTAAATATTTTATTTAAAAATATTTTATTGAAAATTTTATGAATTCCAATTTTTTAGGACTGTGATAAAGTAAAACTGAAATGTCAAAAAAAAAAGTCAGACCTGTACCTAGTCATTTCCCCCTCCCACCATGGCTGGTTAACATAGTGTATCTGTGGCAGCCATGGGATGTAGACAAGATTTAACAGCCTTTGATTATAGATCTCAATGGTTGGTGCCAGAAATTTGGAGAACTATCCAGAAATTGGAAATCACTCTAGGTTTTTCTTTGGCAACAGTAGGATTACTATGCCATGAAAACTGGAATTTTGAATGTGTATTCACAGAATATGTGAATTCTGAATGGGCAGATAAAAAGCGTCAATGCCCACAAGTAAGGTAAGAAAACTGCGACCGACTCACAAGGATGGTAACAATGAAGGGAAACATTTCATCATATCACATTTCAATTCTGGTGCTGCTCAACCCATCAGTCAACACACTGTAATGTATTCTATGATCAACAAGGATAACATTATTAACACACCAGCATTGGTGACATCACCTCTCCTGAGACTCTGAAAGTTTTTACTTTTTGTGTATGCAGAGAAATATATGAATCTGTGGATCAAGCCTGTTAACAACAATTTGTGTAAGCTGATGTCTTTTTATAGTATTGTTCACTCAGTACAAGTCTCAAGAACCACTCAAGGTAGTGGGTTACTGAATTAGGTTGCTGCATAAAGGGAGGATGTAAGAAGTGCAGATTGTTGGCTGTATAATGGTGTGGGGCATAGTTTGCTGGAGTTTGTAAGGATTACAAGGAAGTTATAGTCTCTTTTGAGAGGAAGGGCATACACAGATGTTGTTGCCGACCATTTGTACCTCGCTTGATGCTTGTAATGTTTCTCAGGGAGGGTGTGTAGAAAGATAAGACAAATTCGCACTGTGCCCAGATAATATGATGTTTCAGAAACATTTAGCGATCTTCTAAGTACTCCACTTGGCTGCACACTTGCCAGATTTAAACCCCATTGAGCATGTACACACTTGTGCAAATAAATTGAAACAAACTAATAACTCCATTATTTACTTTTTTTCATATTTTTCCAATGAAACATGACCCAGTGCACATGTTAGTATTTCGTATGTCCATTCAACAAAATTGCTCCTTGCAGATTGACCACAGATTCTTGATTAGATTTAAATCAGAAGAGTTTCCGGGCCAGTCTATAGTACATTAATTTGCTCACTAGTAAGGCTTGCCAGTGTGTTTGTGAAACATTATAATTTTTGTACGCTTCTTTAGAGTAACATCCATTGCAGATAATGGTCATAGGACAAATAATCGACAGTCGAGACAATAGTGTCTGGGCTTGATAAAAATCTGATGCAATCACGGATGACGCAATATTTTTCAAGGCCAAACAAATTTCATCATACACCGTGAAAATAAATTCATATTACTGCACATCACTGCAAATGACCTAATCTGAGGAAAAAATAGAAATCGATTACACCCTGTCACTTCAGGGGGTCTAAAACTGACCGTATCGTGAAAGAAAGGAAACTAAAGTGGTTGTTTCAATTAATTTGCACAAGGGTGTATGAGAGATGTTGAACACCTGAATAAATATCCTGCAGTTGTACCCAGTAAATAGCTCAGATATGAACGGCAGTGCAATGTCATTGGATAGATATCCCCCACTACCCATAGAATAATTCCAGCATTTTGTAGATATCACATTGTCTGCAGTTGAAATTATTCAGGCAAAAAGAGATGGTGCACAGTATTTAGCTGCTTTTCCTTATTTTCTTTTGTACTTCAGTTTATAAGAAATCAATAATCAAGAGATTACCATGTTCCTTACAAACATGTTTGAAGACGAGCACAGAGTTAGAGTATTGGACAACTACTAACTAAATTTACCTCACGCTCTGACTCAAAGGCAAACTACCCTGACATTACTTAATTGTAAGAAGACAGTATTTAAAAATGAATCAATCTTGCATGCTGAATAAGCCTGTCAGCAATGCCAATCATTCCTGACATTTATTAGGGACAAGTTTCAAACATATTACATACTTTGGATTTATCTTGAAACCTTTAAAATCATTTTTCTCTTATGTCTCTTTAGTGATTATGGCTCTCTACAACTTCCTAGCATTTGCAGCTCTGAGCAATGAGTGTCCTCTTACTCTCCTGCTCATTGATTTTTTTCCAGGTATATGTCTATTTAACCCATAGCTTGAGGGAGAAGAAATGGATTAATACCTTGTAATGAGTTGGTCGGTCAACTTGACAACCCCAAAGCG